GGTGCGCCCACGATCACTCGCGCGGCCGCATTCTGGACTAGCTGAAGTCGCCGGATGCTCTTCAAGGGCAGCCCCAAGTACTTAAATTTACCATTGTTCTATTTAACTGCAACATAATTCAAGCCAATCATAACTTCATATTCTTACTTTATGCTGTTTTGATCCAGAAAATGAGCAAATAGTCTGCAAAACTGTTTTCCATGATATTCCATTGTGAAGTATATAAAAGAGTCGGCTTGCTGCATTCAGTAAAGTGGTTAACTTTTAAATGATAATTTTACTAAATGTTACAATTTAAAAATTTTACCAATTTTATACTAAAAAAATAAAGCAATAAAAAGAGAAAGTGCAAAAAAGAAAAGACAGTAAGAGAAAAAAGAAAAATATTTAAAGAACTGACTTCTCAGTTATATGCAGTATAAATAATTTTTGTAACATAGCTTCTCTTAAAATGCAACAAAATATTTCTTTTTTCTGTAGCTCACCATATCTTATCTACAAACCCTTAAAGCTTGATCATTCAGTCCTGGTGAACAGAAGCCCATTAAGGCGGGGTGTCAAACTTGCGTCATCATGGTGGCATTACATGACGTATTAGGACTTTCCCCCGCTCCGTTAAACTGGGTGAGGTCGTGGCCAGCATGTGACACATCTGGCCTGTGAGCTGCGAATTTGACAGCCCTGCATTAAGGGTTAGTAGAGATAACAACATACCTATTTTAACTTTGATCAAATAAACTATTTCACTTTGAACAATCTTGATCCTTAATCCCCTCAAATAATGTCTTAGAACTGGATTTATTTTTATTTGTTTCTTTGTTTTTTCTCACAAAACTTCAAAACTTTAACAAGTCTGCTTTGTAAATTCAATTTAGAAAAGTTATCTAAGTGATTCTTTTGGTTTATTATTTGACTATCCTTTTAATCTGTTTTCATTTGTATACCAAGTGTAGCCTGCCATTTTTAGATCACTTTCAGATCAATCTTAGCCGTGTGTTGTTAAACTTGTTCTTTTTCTATAACAACTTTTAAAAACAGCCTATCTATAATGCCAGACACTCTTAAAATTAACTTATGGATCACAAATATCCATCAGTACATGAAGTGTAAAAGTATTTTGTTCCATTCTGTATTAGTAAATCAAATTTAAATGTTCTTTTCCTTTAATCAAATCAAATCAAACCTTTATTGTCAATGCACAACATGTGTACAATTAAACTGAATGAGCTTTAATTGTAATTTCAGTTCCTTTTGGTTCCCTATAGTGTCCAATCTTCAAAGTCCCATTCTTACATTATTTTTTTAAAGCATTCAAAACAGCATTTTCCTTTGACCATAATTCTTATAATGAATTTGAAAATCTTATTTCAAATAATATTTGTAATCTTGGTCTCTTTTTAACTTTCCAAAATCAATGCTCTAATCATCCTTTTGCTGTTTATTAAAAACTCTTTTTTAAAGTCCTTGTATTTAAAACCTCTTTTGGCAAGGATTGAAGAAAACTCAACTATGCCCAATAAAATTTATCAGTTTTCAGAATACCTAAATACCATCTAATTCAGGTAATGTTATCCAAAACAACTAAGACAGTTTTAAACAATCAGAATAGATGCTCAGTTAAGAATACAGGTTCATTCTGGGCAATTTATGAACAATATTACTAGTATATATCTGGTTTAAGGCTGAACAATAATAACAATAACTCATTATCTAATTTAGGTTTGCTCATCCATTTGAGTTCTGTATTCAGATAAAGGATGATAAGATAGAGCTAAGATAAACCCACATTGATCTCTCTCCTTTCTCTCCAGAGATTGTTACTTATTTCTGCTGAAATCCAAAACATCTCATATTAGCCTTAAAATGGATACTATACTTTGCATGAAATACCTGATGTTTTTCTTCTGTGTTCTGGTGTTTGTAAGTATTATAGACTGTACTTCAATGTAAGCAATGCCCTACTGGATTAGACCCCAGCCTATCTGATCCAGCAATTTGTTTTCATAGATGCCAACCAACTAAAGAAGGAAGCCCCACTAATTTCCAAGCAGATAGTCACACTGCCATCAGTGCTAATAAACACTGATTCCCATGACTCCTATTAATTTGTCCAACCCGTTTTTTTAAGGCCTTTCAAACTGATAGCCAACATTGAATCGAATTCCAAAATGTGATTACACGTTGTGTAAAAAAAATATTTTTGCCCAATTCTTGCAAGATTCAGTTCAAAGGCTTATGTCTAGTTCTAGTATTTTAATAGGGGAAAATAGCTTATTCTTGTCCACTTTATCCATACCACGTGTAAATTTATGCTCAATCATATCCCCTTTTTGGCACTAAGGTGCATCATTTTACATTTGCTCACATTGAATGATGTCTGCCATTTGTTATTTTTTGTCATGTTATTTTCTGATTTATGTGTAATTTTATATGCCTAGGAATGCCCTAAGTAAATTCTCAATTTTTTAAAATTCTCAATCTGTTCTGTAGATCAGCGTTGGTCTGTGGAAATTCACCTGGTGGTCTACCACAAACTCTATGAATTCATCATCTGCAGAAAGTTTGCATGGGACTAGCTAGCCTCTTTGACTAAAGAAAAACAGTAACCTTCTATACAATAGATAATTTCTGTTTTTTTTCTAAAGGAAAATAGCTAGATATGTTGAAAAACTGTTTACCTGGAGTGGGATCTAGAGTTAATATTCTTACAATATTGCCTTGTCCCGCTGAAATCCTTGCAGCTTTAAATTTCCAAAAGATTTTCCACAGAACGCTGATATGTGGGACTTGTAATGTCTGTTAAAGGTGTGCTTCAGTATCCAGATGGCAGCCTCATAGACCTCTCGTTAATCTTGACCAAAATTAGTATCCAACCACCCTTGCCTTATGAGCCAGTCTTCCCCTTGGAACTGGAGTTTTAAGGGAATACTATTTTCTCATCAGAATAAGTTAGCTAAGTTAAACACTACTTTTACATTGAATGGTTATTCTGTGTTTTTTTCTTTCAGATTGGGTCACTCTGCCTTATTATTGTGGCTATCTGGGCAATCTTTGATCCTAAAAGAATTCTGGATATCCATCCAAACTATTTCTTAAAAATAGCAGTTTCTATTATCCTACTTATGGGTCTACTGGTCGCATGGCTGAGCTATTTGGGCATTTATGCAACTGTTGCTGAAGATATACAGTGGTTGAAGACTGTAAGTGAAGGGAGTTCACTGGTATGAAGACTGAATATTGACACAAAGATACATTACAAGAGATTTCCAAGTTTGGAATTCATATCATGGTTTTGAAACCTTATGTGCAATGGCTAAGAATAATGCAGTCTGGTAGTTGTGAGAGCTGTGGTTTAGTCCTACATATTTCTGCTAGATGCAGCATAAATTATTACAAGAAAATGAATTTTAGGATTAAAGCATATCATCATTAATAGATCTCTCCTCATTAGGTTGATACATAACATCTAGTTCTAACATTTTGTATGGAAGCATTAGCATTAGATCCTCCCATGCTATGTAGCATATTGGACAGCAAAGTATCTCCAGCAGTTTTTGTCTTGAGCGAGTACTTCAGTGTCTTCCCATGTGATGCTGAGAGTTCTTAAATCTTCCATGAATGTTCTTCAATATGTATTTTGAGGCGTCCCCCTGGTCATTATGGGTTGGGGCCCATCTCTTTGCCATCTTGGGAATTTGATTGTTCTCCATGTGGAGAATACGAACTGCAAATTGTAATCTTTTGTCTATGTGTGGAAGACATGGGCCTAATTCTGCATGTTATTTTCACTTTATAGCTCGTCATATTGATCCTGGTGATCTCCATTGTGAAGCTTCTGATCATTATACTCCTTTATTTCTTTGCAGCAAAGGTAATAATGAGACAGGGATTAGATCACATGTCTGAAATGTCTCATCCTTGTTGCTTCCTTTGCTATCCTAAAACCCCCCAAACAGTTCTTTTATTGCTTTTAGTACTTTCTTCATACAAACATGAGCTTTTTCTAAGTAGACATATCTTTAAATCAATAGAATCACACCTGCTAGAGAAGATCATGGAGGAATAGATTGCTTATTGAATTTGTCATACACTGGCCTTGTGGCTGAATCTTGAGGGGAAAAATGCACCTTATTTGGATTTCTAATGTATAGCTGGTAAAAGAATATTTAGAAAATATGATTGCTGACATAAAACTTCACATGCTTTGACATCTCTACCATGTCTAGCATAAGCACTTGAAGCTTTGAACTTGGTAGCAAAATAAATTCTACACTTTTTTTCAGATCCGTGACAAATACCTTGTAAATCAGCTGACCCAGAAGTATGAGGGAGACGATGGCACTAATGTATACTCTAAAGCTTTAAATGGCTTCATGATCATGGTAATCAAGAATGAACAATAATTTTATCTTAAGGTCATAAGATTTTGTCCGTCATGTACATTAAGAGCAATTACAAAATGGTATATAACCACAATATGTAAAATTAGTGTACCACTTAAATATTCTATAAAAGTATTGAATCCAATAGCATTCAAAGAGGAATTAATATAAATGTTATATTATAATTATTATAAATTTCTTTTATATGTATTTCAGAAAATGGACAGGTAGTGGCCATTTCCTTAATTAGATAAATTGAAATTTGTATACTATTTTGAAAGAGATGTAATCAAATTGATGCATGTTATTATTTAGTTGAACATTTTTGAGGAAATGGGAAAGATTATACAAGAGTTTTTCATATTTAATAAAACTGTAACTTTAAATCTATTTTTCCAAGGACATACAAAACAAGTTAAATCTTTTTTGTTGTTAGGTCTCAGGTGTAACATAACAAAATAATGACAAACTAAAGTCTTTCTTTGAATCCATGGTACTTGATGCTATAATATATAATAATGGCTTAAAAATTAACATAGCACAAAATAATCTTAAAGGATCCTTTAATTGATTCTTAAAACAGAAGGTTTTGCTCACATTTAGTCTTTATTTTTAAGTTATATCAACAAAAACTTGTAACAGATCACCTCTTATCTTCAATTAAGATAATATGGAGAACACTTAAACTCCCAGGCCTCTGGTAGGGGAATAGAGATTGAATCGGACACATGCTACACATATGGTGGCGGGGGGGGGGTGCGCATGCGCGCACCAGGGGTGGGTTCCTGCTAGAAGAGGTTCCACAAATCTACAGTGTCATTTAGAACCGGTTCCAGCTCCCTCCCCCCGCCCGTCCACACATCATCAAGATGAAGAGCGAGAGGGGGCAGGGCTTGACGTCGCAACAACACAACATGCAATCTTGGGGCTCCAGGATTGCTGTCGATATCTCTGTTTCTGGATGGTCCTTTTGGACCTAAACTGTTCTGAAGGAACAGTGATAGAGAAGAGCATGTCTTCCTCATTTCAGGGGCATTGCAAAGCCCCTGATTGATCCAGGAGAAAGCTCTTTTTGCCAGCTACAAGAGAAGCAACCAAAATGGCCGCCAAAGGTTGGGACAAGCCCCTGAAAAAGAAGCAGTACAGGAGTGGTGTCGAAATGGTGAGAAAAATTTTTATTATTAGAGAAGGGAAAACCCAAAAGAATTGGAATTTAAAATAAAATTGAAGACAGAAAAAAACAAGCGGCAAATTAACTCTGGTCTAAGACGATTGTGTTATTGTTTCGACCTTAACTTCGTTTGTTTTCTATGGATGGACTCTTTACAAATGCCTCTTACTTTTAAATTGGACTGGTCTCTTTTTTTCCTTCTTCCTCTATACTTTCTCCATTTTTGGTATTCATGGATTAAAAGCTTCTTCTCATAAGGCTGGGATGGAGCGTAATTTTTACACTTTTTCTTTTCTTTTCCTCTCTTGGACAGAGAGGCAGAAACAGATGGAAAAGAGGTAACACTGCCATCTAGTGGCTAGCGGCTTGGCAATATCTGATAAAGCTATAAGCTTTGTTTACTGAAAGGCTCAGTGGAAAACATTTTGTTGATACAGGTGTTCCTTTGAAGGAAAGAGAAAGCTTTGATTTGAAAAACTTCACTGAATATGCTTGACCTAAAAAGTCTCAGATGTTTTGGCAGTGTCTATAACCTAGAAAATGGCACAACGTGAAGAAAAAAAGGCACTAACTTTGCAAAGAATTTTCTTAGAAATTCAAA